ATCTAAAGAGTATAGTGAAACATATGAATCATGCCCGGTATGACAATAACATTAGGAACAAAAAATTGTTTTATAAATCTATTACATCTTACAATGCTCTACTAGACAATGTTTAAAAGAACAGTTTGAGTAAAATATTTGTAAAAGACTTACCTTTCATGAAACCCATGTCTATCCAGACGAAAACAGGAATAGATTTCGGAAACGCATTCTCATCTTAAAACTCTCGGGACGCAAATGATATTTTTTTTTTTGTTTTCCAATCTAGAACAGACGACATCCATAAACAATTCCATTTCAATCTTCTTCTTTGACAAAGTGCTTCGAAATACGAAAAGAAACATCCAACTCATCTAAGGTTCAGAAATTGTAAACAATTCCTAAAAGAATTTCCTCTTAAAAACATCATGGGTCCAGATTGAGTAGAGAGAGAGATACGCGTTGCCTCTTCAACAGCCAGCACTGATCTGCACTGAAACGCGGAATGTTTTCATAGATAAGGGAGGAATTGAAAGTGAAAGTAAAAACTAGATCGTCTTGGTTGTCGAGTGGGAAAAAATTCTCAGAGCTCAGAAAAAAATTCTGAGTTGATATTTAAAGAAAAACTTTTTGTTAATTTTTATAATATCTTTAGATATTATAAAAATTAACTACCTCCTCCTTTTTGTCTGGGAATGATGTCTCACCCTTTCTAAAAATAGACCATGACTAAGAATGTTTTTTTTTAAATATATCTCAGCTCACTATTTTTTTCTGAGATCTGAGAATTTTTTCCCACTCGACAGCCAAGACGATTTGGTATTTACTTTCACTTTCAACTCTTATCTATAAAAGCATTCCAGGTTTCCGTTCAGAACAGTGCAAGCTCTCGAAGATGCAACATGCTTTTTCTCTCTCTACCTAATCTGGACCCAGGATGTGCTTTCTCAAGAAGAGGAATTCTTTGGGAATGTCTTGCAATTTCTGAACCTTACACGAGCTGGATATTTCTTTTCATATTTCGAAGCAATTTGTCAAAGAAGAAAATTTTGATATAATCGTTTATGGATGTCGCCTATTATATATAAATCAGCGAAATATATATCATTTGAGTCAATAATCCTGGAGCACCCCGCGAGTTTTAGGATACGCATGTTTTTTTCGAAATGTATTCCTGCTTTCGTCTGGATAGAAAATGGTTGTCATGAAAGTTAAGTCCTTTTCAAATATTTTACTCAATGTATTATTTTAAACATTTTGGCGTAACATTTTGTAAGATGTAATGGACCATTAAAATAAATGTTAATTCCTATTGTTATTGTGTTGTAAGATGTAATGAACGGGACATTTTGACGAATAAGCTAAACTATTTTCTAGTCTCACGAAAGCTCATTCAACTCGAACAATTTCGTGCTCTTAAACCTCGATAGTTTGAAAGCAACCATTTTGTTTCTCATCTCAAACCTTGATGGTGGAAGCAGCCATTTTGTTTCCCATCCAATGAAGACTCTCTGAGGAGACAGACCATTGTGTTCTTTCTCTCTACGCAAGCCAAGATGGGGTGCAGCGACCCTTTTGTTTTTCTCTGCGCGCAAACCTTGATTGCTTGAGCAGCCCTTTTCTGTCGTATCTCACCCAGATAGGTCATGTATTTTTTCCTACACCTAGCCAAATTTGACGTGAGCCATCCTTTTGTTTTCCCATCGAAACAAGTTGGATGAGTGAGACAATTTTGTTTTTTCTCTCTTCGGGAACCGAGAGGGGGCGCAGCGACCATTTGCGTTTTCTCTGCGCGCAAACCTTCGATCATTTGAGCATCCATGTTGTTTCCCATCTCACCCAGATAGCTCGGGTTGTGTTTTTTCAACACCTAGCCAAGATTGACGTGAGCCATCCTTTTGTGTTCCCATCGAACCAAGATTGACACGAGCCACCATTTTGTTTCTCAACGGAAAAGTAAATTTTCTGAATGGGTACCGGTGTTCAAATTCTTTTGTGACCAACTGTACGCTGATGACACAGCCATCGTCGCACAAAGTGCATTTCTAGCCCCATTATCTAATGGTTACAACAACACATACAAGCATTAGAGACTTGGTTCACCAAGTGGAAAATTCTTGTGAATATCGACAAGACCAAAGCTATCTTAATCACAGGAAAAAATAGTATAAAAAAGAACCTCAAGTTTTGTGGAGCTACCCTACCCTGGGCCAAGCTAGTCCTCTATCTTGCGGTGATCCTCAATAATACTCTCACATGAACCCCACATGCCACAGGCTCAGAATTGTGTTCTCCGCCAAATTACAAATTCTTCTTGGTTTTTTGTATTAGCTGAAAAGTACTTGGCGACAGAGGAGAATCTTGTCTAATAGCGCATGCGCCACCAGAATTGGCTCTGAAATATAGGGCCGTATCCTCCTACCGTGCGACGAGATCTCGTTACGAGAGTGACGTAGCAAGCGATTCCTTCTCGTTCGACTGCTACTAACAAGGAGGTTAGAATAGATGGAGTAAGCCTTCCCCGTATGTTCACATGCAATGAAAATGAAGCCATGATACGTCACGATGCGTGACGTCACGACTGATATGTGTGAGTCGTCAGCCATGTTTTTGCGACCCTTTAGGGTTGCAATTTCGGTTGGGGGCCAATCTTTGGCTCTTTAGCCGTATTAGTTAAAACTTTAATTATTTAACATTTTAGAGGACCTTTTAGAGAATCTTAAGTTCCGATTTTTCGCACTCATATAGAGATGTGTGACTTCTCTCTCGTAGTTTTTAAAATGACGAATTTCTCATGTGATTCATGATGCGTTTTTAAAACATTTTCACATATACTTCAAATTCATATATAAGTTACAAAAACTTTCTTGTCAACTTACTTCTGAATTTTCAGTTTATACTTTTACATACATGCATACAATACATGCATAATGTTAGACAACTCAAAATGTACTTTTTGACAAGAGATTTCCCGCAGCTGTATTCTTAATTTCCATGAGGTTATAATGGGTTTGAAATAACGTTTTCATATTTATGTAACTAAACTACTTTTCTTTTATAATTCAAGGTAGTTTCATGTATTATATAAAAATTATAAGCCTTTCAATACAGTACTTGTATGATAATTCTTAATATCTTAACTATACCATTTCAGTACTGATGGAGTTAAGCATATTACTTTTATTTACATTACATGTTAAATTATTTAGAGAACATTAAAGCTGTGGCTACAAATTTGTATGAAGAAAACTTCAGTAATTTTTAAGTTTCTAAAGCTTTTCTGAATCAAAAGTTACTTTTCTAAAATTGTAAGCAAATTTTATATGATAAGTGGATAAATACATGCTGATGCTTTAATATATCTAGCAAGTTCGCATTTTAAACTTCTGAAAAATTTAATAGCTTGTCTGCATAATAATTCTTGTTTTTTTCATTTTTAATCTACTTCTTGTTTATCATTTTTAATATGCAGTTTGAAGTTTGCTCACATGGAATCGAATGTCTATTATTGCAACAATTTGGTTAAAAATGTTATTTTGTGTGCATATCCAGAAAAAGGTAGCTAAAAGCTTTATGATTTTAAATACTGATTTGAGATATACACCTTTAAATTTTGATGTTTTAGCAGAATGCTATAAAAAACTATTTCAATGCTCTAATGGCTGTGGGAATCTATATTTTAAAAATATATTTTTATATAAATTTAGCAATGTAAAAATTCCATATCAAAAATACTATTTTTGTTCTTTATTTAGCTAAAAAGAAAATTTTAAAAATTAATAAATACACACATAAATAAATAAAAAATAAAAAGAATACCTTTCCACACAAAATTTAGACACTATTTACCGATACATTTGCTATTGAGAAAATACTTTATACAGTACATAGAAAAACTGGTAAATTTATGAATTAAACAAGGGAAAAAACATACATAAAATTTAAAATTTTAATTTTATATTTGCTTTATATGAGTAGAGAATTTTATATTTGCTTTATACAAATAGTGAATATTTGTTAAATTCAAATTTCATTCCTTGAAGCAATGGCACAAGAAAATTATTAAAATTAATTTAATTTTACTATTTTCTCGTGAAACAATGTTGTTAATATATTATTACACATATCTGAATATTTAATGATAATTCAGTACTCTTCTGTTATCGGGATGGAAATCAAAAATGTATGTATACACACATACATATGCATGGTTCATATATACATACATTCAATATACATCCATATAGAGATTTCTGAATCCGGTCCCGATAACAGAAGAGTACCAATAATTCTATAATTAGTTAATATCCTTATTAATTAATTTGCATAAGTAAAAACAAAAGTATTATTTAGCTTTAAATCTACATCTTTTGATAACAAACATATGCAAAATACTTGTACTTATAGTGAAAATAAAACAAAAATTGTTATTTTTCACTCTTTTTTTTCTAACACAGTGCAAGTCATTCCATTATAATCAAATTTTATTAAAACACAGTAACTGGATTTTTTCCATTAAAGTCAACACCTTTATATAGAATATACATAAAGTCAACAGCTTTGTATAGAATGATATAATGCTAGACCTACTTTACCTGAAATTTTATTTATATGAATTTATGGGGAAATGCCAGAATAAATGAAAAAAAAAAAAAAAAAAAAAAAACCATCTGAATAAATCTTAGCCGACACTGTTATGATAGTATTTTTGTTTTCAATAAAATGTTTTTAAGGTATACCATTTTAGTTCAGTTTTCCCCCCTATTAAAGGAGCTACCCTAAGAGACATATTTTATTTACATATATCTCATTAATATGTTAAAAATATAGCTTAAGTGAGTTTTATGTGCATACTGTAAGGAAGGGGAAAGCCTTAATTCAAAACCTGTTTTAAAGCAGTAAGTAAATAAATAAAATACATTGCTTTTTTTAGCATCTCAAAAAATAGTGTTTTGGCTTCTAAAAACAAATCCTAAGCATCACATCATGATAGATAATAATCTTACGTAAGAAGAAATATCTGATTAGGAATACATTCTTTATATTTATTTGATAAGATCAAAACATATATGCAACATCACATTATGAAAAATCCTGCGAATCATTACAACACTGTAAGACATTGATTAGTAAGGTAAACATCAGTTGATCATTCTTTCACAGTAGCAATAAATTTTTCATTCAAATTCTTAAAAATATGCCAAAACAAATTTACGATTGGTGCTTAAGATTTAAGGTCACACAAAAGTAAATTTGATTTAGCAGAGCTTGATATCTTCCATAACATAAAAGTAACTGCTACATGATGGAAGTTTTTGTGAACAAAATACAAACATTTTATAAATACTTAACCTTAATGACTAACTTCAAATTAATCCAATAATGATGGAAACAATAATGTAATTGAGTACTGCAAATTTACTTTGTATGATATTTCTATGTAAAATCTGAAATTTATAATAGGTGAAGGACTTTACATTATTTAAACAATGAAGCCCCACTTCTGAAAGCGAGGACTTAGACAAGACATATAGGACATTAAAACATACATTACCATATTATTATATTACTCAAAATTATTACTTTCAATAATACTGTTCTTTTGCTTACTTAATGCATATTCCTATATATATGTAAAATTTAAAATTAAGCAAAAAAGTTATTTTAGTTTAATCCTGATTTTGAACAAACCTCTGTAGACTTTGAAGGCAATCAAATACAGGTTTCTCTTTTTTAGGGGCAAATCTGAAGAAATGAGACCTGTGTCTGATAGGCCTCGAAATCAGTAATTTTAATCAAAAACTATATCAAATTGAGGTTGCTTTTATGCCTCATTTTAAATATGATTATTATAATAAAATACACATTTAATTATATATATATAACAGCAAAATTTAAACAGTATTATGAATTATTATCTATTAAAAATTTCAATTTTTAATCTATTCTTAAGCACTGAAATTAAAGCTTAAATCATATAATGCCTGAATTTCAATATTTTGATTTATTTATAAAACAAATTGGTCCATTTTTAATATGAAACATTTTTTATGAAAACTATAAAACTTAAAAAAACATACATTTTAAAAACTGGATATCATTGAATGGTAGTTTGGTAAACCCAATGCCTTTTACATGCTGTGGGGTCAACAGTTGTGTTGGATTAGGCACATTAAACAAGGCTTTAGTTTTTTAAACCCATCTTTCCTAGAACATTCAAACTGGTTTTCTTCAAAATGCACCTTCAAATTTAACAAAAGCATGTATGAAGTTTAACATTAAAATCAAAAACACTAGTATTTAATTACAGTTGCATGTACTAAATGAATTTAATCACACTATTAAGAATGAAATTTTGTGAAAAATTTTAACTTTTATATGAAAATAGGACAAAATTAAGAATAAATAATTAAGTTTATGAAGCTTCCTGAAGGACACAGAATATATTTACCTCACTATACAGAATAACCTAAACAATTTATAATTTATGTTATACTTACCAATTTTTAAGACTGGCGCCAACTGATATATTTGGCGACAATACATCAGAATCAAAATACAGCATAGACCTTTAATACACTATTCGTACAGTAAAATTTAAATAAAAAAACGCCTATTACAATCCCAACCGAGACAAAGTTTACATGAAATATAGAATACAATTTTACAAACAGTATAAACTATTAGCAACAGTAAAAAACAGTATTGGCGATATTTTGCTGCACAAATGCACACACATTCCACAATTGATTTTATATTTGTAAAATCATTTCAGCGTCAATAAGTGACAGCTAAATGAAAGTACACATTTTGAAAAAAAAATAATAAGGGAATTTTTCTCATATGCTATGAAAAAATACGAAGCTGCACTTACTTCACAAAAACACGCTCCTGCGACCGAAATCCATTGATCTCGAACAGAAAGAATTACTTCTTCTTCGTCTTTTTTCATTTTTTGCTAAACAAAACATCCTAAAGTTATTTCTAGAATGATTTGACAATTTGGTGCAGCACATCTATCCATATTTCTCAAAATCAGGTCGAAACGATCAACAAAGCAATGCTGAACTAATAGCGAGTAGCAATAAAGTCAGAATAATAGAAATACTAAAATACCTGTTTATGGCATTTACTTATGAAATTAGCTGCGTAGCAGCGGGAATGATTGACATCCTTCACTACATTCACCAATTTTATCTGGCTGAGCAGTTTTAATACAATTATAAACAAAGCTTTCGTCTTATCCGTACGCTACACGGCAGCCATGCTGGCTCATCAGTCGTGACGTCACGCTGTCGATCCTTCCTCGGCTTCAATTTTGTGACGTCATGCTTACTCCATCTATTCTAACCTCCTTGGCTACTAACGATTGAGCGAAAACTGTTATCTTCAAGCACCTCTACCGTGCGAAACATTAAGGCTTTCACCGATCGAAAGAGGTATTAGCTCCTCCGTTCGCACCGCCCACATTTTGACGCCAAACGATAGTACTACAACTAATGAGAAGACTTGTTGAAAAATAATCGTAACTTTTTTTTTTTTTTTTTTTTTTTTGTAAACAGATTTGTAAAGAACGTATCTTTTCCCGTCTCTTTTTAGAATAAGTCGTCATCCCGGATAACTTCTCGTCAGTTAGAGACATTTGTGTCTTTCAATGAAGATGAAACCATGAAAGATACTATTTTATACACATCCCACACATGCATATTTATGTATTATTATTTAGATTGCTGTTATTCATTTCCACCATGACTTTTCTTTCAAGAAATTTAGGATCATTAAATAACTAAATTTTGTGTAATCTTGTTCATTTGAAGTTCTTTAGGCAGTTTAAAGTTTTTTAATCTAAGATGTACAAAATTTGTTTATTATTCTTTTTTTTTTACAGTTTATCATTGGAAAAATCTGCCTGATTCATACACAAATTTTTAGTTTAGGTCAGTAAATTTAGATCAGCTTTATACACTTTTTGGTTACTTAAAAATATCTACATATTTTTAAACAGATCTCAGAATAGAAATTCGATTATTTATAAGTTTTCATTAACAGCAATATCTTGCAGCACAATCTGAAGATATATTCCAATAATTTATGTATTAATTTGAAATACTAAAAAATTGAGGTTAAAAATATATCATTTAATTATGAATTCCTAAATTGAAATGCAAATTTTACATGTGTAAGGCAACTTTAATAATTCTGTTGTGGGTTGTTTGCTTAATTGCTAGAGACTCTAAATCTATTTGTGTTCAACAGAATGATTCATGTGTTTGGACAAAACAGAAGCAGATGTTCATGTAATATGTTATTGGAATTTGCAAATGTGAAAAAGATGATGTTAAATGAAAATGTAATGAGGAAACAAGAAAATATTAAATACTGAAGAAATAAAAAAATTAGAGTAAGTGTTAGAAGATGAAGTATGTTTTTTAAATACTTAAAAAAATAACTCAATAAAATAAAAAGTTTTCAATGTATATCATTTTAGTTTAGTGTTTAGTTCTTTTTCTAGTAAAGTAGCTAACATAACAGACTTATTTCATTTACATATATCTCATTAATATGGTAAAAATATAGCTTAAGTAAGTTTTATGTGCATATGGGAAGGAGGAGGAAAAAAGCCTCAAATTAAAGCTTGTTTTAAAGCAAAAAGCAAATAAATAAAATACACTGGTTCCATTAACACTTCAAAAAAGAACTATTTTGTACTCCAACAACAAATCCCAAATATCACATCATGATACACAAAAACTCTTACAGAAAAAAAAAAAAAAAAAGAAAAAGAAATGAAAAAGAGAAGAAATATGTAAAGAAATTCTTCTTTAAAAGAAGAAATATGTGATTAGGAATATACTCTCTTTATTTATTTGATAACAAAGAAGAGTAAAACATATGGAACATCACATTATGAAAAATTCCTGCAAGTCATTACAATACTGTAAGCCATTGATTAGCAAGGTAAACATCAGTTGATCATTCTTTTACAGGAGCAATAAATTTTTTATTCAAAATTCTTAATACGCCAAAACAGATTTACGATTGGTGCCTCAGATCTAAGGTCACACAAAAGTAAATTTGATTTAGCAGACCATGAGAAATTTATGAACTATGTCATTTATGAGCAAATTGACTCTCTTCAAAATGTACCCGCTAATTTAACAAAAGCTTGCATGAAATTTAACATTAACATTTTAAGCACTAGTATTTAATTACAGTTACAGGTATTAAATGAATTTAATCACGCTTTTAAGAATGCAATTTTCTGGTAAATTTTAATTTTTATATGAAAATAGAACAAAATTAAGAAAAAGTAAGTTTGTAAAGCTACTTAAAACATATTTCCTGTTCACACATTGAAAATAAATTTGAAGTAACTATATTTAAAAATACAACATGAAGATTTACTATTAGATCAAGCATGATAATGGGATTAAAATGATTTGTCAAATATTTAAATTAATACTTAACTTCTTCAAAATACCTAAAAAATGCAGACTATATTTATCTTACTATAAAGAAAAAGCAAAATCATTTATAATTTAGATCATACTATCCAGTTTTTAACACTGGCGCCGACTAACAGGTTTGGCGACAATACATCAGAATCAAAACATAGAATGTTACTTTAAATCACCAATCGTACAGTAGAATTAAATAAAAAAAAGGAACACCACTTTCCTAACCCAGCACAAAGTTTACATGAAGATGTAAACTTTGTGCTAGGTTAGGAAAGTTTAGGAAGTTGGGTAAGGAAAGTTTACATATTCATGCAAACTTTGTGCTTTTTACAAAAATAACAATTTTACAAACAGTATAAACTATTAGTGATAATAAAAGGAACAATAACATCACAAACAGTAATAGCAATATTTTACTGCACAAACACACACATTCCATAATTGATTTTGTATTTATAAAAATCAGATGATCGTCAATAAGTGGCAGTTAAATGAAAATATACATTTTGAAGAAATACGAAGAGTAATTTTTCTAACATTCTATGGAAAAATACGAAGCTGAACTTACCTCACAAATACACGCTCCTGGGCTGGGAATTCATTGATCTCGACAAGAATTAATTATCCATTTTCTTCGTCTTTCTTCATTTCTCGGAAAACGAAATATACTTACGTTATTTTTAGAATGACTGGAACAATTTGGTGCAGTACATCCACCCATGTTTCTCAAAATTACGTCGGAATCAATCAACAAAACATGTCAACATAACAATGCTGATCCAATGGCGGATAGCAACAAACGTGCTTTGTTAGCTGCAAAATAGACTCTAAGTCAGCTCCCCTCCTCTTATAGAAACCTCTGTGATGATGTAGGCAACGAAACCTTGATTTATGTACACCACTGTATCTTTCCACACAGTTCCTTCCTGCTGCATGCTTTTGTTATAATTTTCTTCTATATATGAAGAGGGATTTATGTGTATGGTGTCAAAAGCCAAAGTTCTAACGGATAACCTTCATCACTTGAAATACTAAAAAATAAATATATGGAAATAAAAATTCCTTGTACAGGTGGGGAAATCTAATATCAGATTTCAAGAAGAAAAAAAAATTGTCACCCATTACATTGCAAAATCATTTTAAACTCATAAATCCGAAAGAAAAAATGCATAATTTTTAAGTACAACAGTTTGATACATGGAAGATAGAAGAATAGAAGTCTATAAAAGAATTGTCTTTTATCTGCATTTATTGAGAACACACAATTTCTTAACTTGCATGTGTATCTAAATGCATATAAATTAGGTACATTTCATATTTAATAAAATCAGTAATCTATTTCTTTCACATTCCGCCAATATTTCAATTACTACTTACTGAAAAAAAAGGGTATGTGTAAATACTACTATAGAACTAAAAATGAAATCATACTTTTATTAACACATATCCACTCACATGTTGATACTGATAATCTAAGACTTCGTATAATATACTATATAAAAATACTAGTAATAGACTGTATAAAAATACTAGAAATAATAAATAAATATAAAAAATATATTTATTTATTATTTCTATAACAAGATATAAATAATCCATCTATAATCTGAAAGAATAATATTATAACAATAATATCAAATACCTTCTAAATGCAGACAAAATTAATCAAAACTTGCTATAGACTGAAAAATTGGTACTCTGTTGTCGGGACTGGATTAAGGAAGGAATGTATATATGTATGCATGTGTGTATGTTCATATACGTGTACACATATGCATATGTATGTACATATAATATATATATACACTGATTTCTGAATCCAGTTCCGATAACAGAAGAGTACCGAAAAATCTTATTTCAGGATTACAAGAATTGAGGAAGTATTGATAACTGACATTCAGTTTCTTCCCCTGTTCCTGAAAAATGCTTATTTGTGCTTCATTTAATTTCTCAGAATACAAATATGTTTGACAAAATGTGCTTATTTCCTTCTTTAAATAATTTTATTATAAAATTTTGGGCACATATCTATAAGCCAATAGTTTGTCCCTCCCTGCAGTGCCAAGA